TCGAGTTTTGTATGCAATAGGTAGCTCGAGCACATTTCTTGGCCAATAAACTCCAATTTTGAATGAAATACGTAGCTCGAGCTCGTTACTCGGTCAATTTTTGGCTATTAAACTCGAGTTTCCCTTTTTTTTGGGACAGTGAGGTCTTGCATGGATAGTGAGTACTATACCCGACCTTGACCTCTATTTGCTTTTGATATCAGGGATTTCGAGTAGCCTAGGTCGGGGTCATGTGGTTGAATGTGATTTTGGAGTACAAGTAGTATGTGCAGAGCACGACCTTACACTAATTTAATGTGTTAGCTGCATGCGCGGAGCACGACCTTATGATAATTTAATGCTCTAGCTGCATGCAAGGAACACGACCTTATGCCAATTTAAAGTGTTAGATGCATGCGCGGAGCACGACCTTACGCTAATTTAATGTAAACTCTTAGTAGATGCGTTCGAGGTGAGTTTTTAAATGTCTTATAAAATAACGTAAAGGTACATGGGCGCGTAGGCCTTGAAAGAAAAACAACTTAGGGGCATGCAAGCCCGAGCTAAAAAAAACCAAAAAAATTTAATCCTAACATAATGCAGATTGAGAAAAAAAAAGACAAAAAACTAAGTAACCTAGATACCTGGGGGTGTAGCCGACTATTTTTCGGCTGTGGTTGTAGCATCAAGATCTTGACCAATGGTAACTTTCCACCATGCTCGAGCTCGACCTCATCCATCTCCTCTATTGGAGCAAGCTTTCCACGGTGCTCGAGGTTAGGGTCGACCTCCGAAAGTTGCATGACGTCAGCCTTAATCTCCCGGACGCTAGTAACGTAACATTGCCTAGCCACTGCTTGGCTTCCTTAAACTACACCGACCCCATTGCTAGTAGAAAACTTAACTACCAGGTGAAAAGTTGAGACAATCGCCTTGATTCTGTTCAACAAGGGCCTTCCAAGTATGGCGTTGTAGGCCATGCGAGCACGAACTGCTTGAAATGTTCTGATATACGTGACATGATTCCCTTCTGATCCCAAGGTAAGAGGTAACCCAACAATGCCTTTCGGAATGACGAAACCACCTCCGAAACCCTGAATGGGGGTTTTGACCGGCCTGAGCTGCTCAATTGATATACCCATCTGGACGAAAGCCTCGTGTGATAGTACATTAGCTGCGCTTCCATTATCCAACAGAATTCTCCTTACCTCGAAATTTGCAATGATCGCCGATATGACCAGGGCATCATCATGAGGAAAAGACATGCCCTCTAAGTCCTTTGACTCGAATGTGATATCTTCCACATCATCGAGATCCAAGCTTGGGATCGAGTCGTATTGCCCGGCATACTGCTTACATCCACTGTTCGAGTCCTCTCCCGATGTCGTTCCTCCGACAATGATATTGATAGTCCCTGC